TGGAAACATGTCTTTGATTTAAAAATAGGTTAAGAATAGGTTTCTTTTGCATCTTTAATAACTTAAGGAAGAATCCGACTTAGAATCTATAAAGGAATCGGAACTAAAGATGAAACTAAAGTTACTAACACTTACGACGACAAAAAGAAATAAAAAATAAATTTTCTATTTATTTTTTTAAATGATCTTTTTTTTGTATAATTTCTCTATAAACTAGATCTAAACTTTAATACAATAATCCAGACTTGACATGATACACGAAGGAACCTGCAAGGATGATCGATTACTAAAAAAAACATTGTGCACAATCATTTATTGATACGATTTATTTATTTTATAAAAACATTTATTCGACAACGAAACAATATAATTAAGAAACAATATTCTGTTTCTCTTTTTAATTCTATTTTCCATATTTTAATAAAATTTTTAAGTTTTACAAACCGTACGTTTAGATTTATTTTAATGATGCCAACGAATTTTGACATGATAATATGACTTTTAAGGAATTGAACATTTTATTTTTAAATTTTTTCATCACGTGACTTGTGCGGGGAAAAAATGAGATTGAATGACATTAAAAATGAAAAAAGAATGATAAAGTGATCTTGGAAAAGTTTTTCTATTTTTTCCCTAAAGGGAATACATCCCGTACAGTTTGCGTGACAGAGTTTCGTCTATTAAGGTATTTTACGTGATTCATATATAATATATCGTTCAAGGACACTGCGCAAAACTTTCATCCGTCCAAATATTCGAAGAAAATCTTCGACCAAACAAGTTACAATTCACGCGATATCATTTACTCTAGGAAGTTTAATCATATCACATATATAGTCACCAAGAATTTCTCTTTGCTTTCTGCATAACCTATATATGTAACAAGTGCTGTAAATTTCATGAAAATTTTATTTTTTCGTATTTCAATCATGAATTTACTTTAAATTCAAATTTAACGATTTTTTTGTTTATTTTTTCATTGTTCATCTTAGCGGCGATAAAACATCAGATCTGAAGTTTGAAGATGACTTTTTGGTATTTTTGTTCGCGGTGAAGTAATTCTGAAGAAAAGTATCCATAAGAAGAAATGTATTTTAAGGTTACGTTTGTTTCATTTTTCCCTCAATTAGAAGTTTCTGTGTTTAATTTCAAACCAAAATCAGTTTTTATGGAATATTTTGCATGTAACAAAGAATTGAATATCAATTGTTTATATTGAGAGCAGTGAGTCAATCTCCTTTTGTGTATTTTCATTCCGAAAATTGCAAACATAACCTCAAATTTTTGCTTTCTGTAATGCCAAAAATAATAACAATAGTAAATATAATAATAATAATAATATAATCAATGTAGTTCATCCTATATAAATATTTCGATCGAGTGATAAATTCATACTTATACAATTATAATAACAATTATAATTATTATAATTACAATTACAGTTAACTTACTTATAATGATCAAACACAATGTATTCATGCGAAAAACAATTTATTCCATTTTCCTTTTTATTTATGCGGAAGTTTGCGATCTGACCTTTTTTTCACCCCATGGCAGATTATTATGACTGCTGTGAGTTGGAATAAAGAAAATAATTGATCTATTTGTTTGATTCGAATATATTTAGCGAGAGAGCACAGCGGAATTATTATTTATCGCATTTAGTTCGAGTCGTTTGTTTACATTTGCTTTGTTCTAGTTTTTTTTTTATTTTCATTGTCAGCTTTTTTCTCAAACAAACAAATCTGTTTTTTTGTCATTTGTTCCTGTAAAGCCATTTTTGGGTAAAGGATAAAATTTTATTTTTATTTTATAATACAGAAAAATTTGTATGTCGCACGGGGGGTGAAAGTTGTACTTTTAGCATAATAATTAGTTCTTAGAAATTTCAATATTTTGCTCCTTTCATTAACCGGAAATGTTGCTGGTGATTTCTTAATTAGGATTCATGACAGAATAGGAGTTTTAATGTTGTTTTTCCTGTTTTTCTTCTTTAAGAGAATTCTAAGTTTTATTTACTTTTTTGCCAAAACGAATATTCAAAATAATGTTCTGATAGAATAATATTAAAATAATGTTTCGATAGAATAATATTAAAATAATGTTTCAATAGAATAGGATTCTATATTTTTTTTAGTAATTGAATCATCTTTTTTTCCTGTGTATTTTGAAGTTTTAGAAAACAATAAATATCATGTTTACTTGTAATTGTAGAGACACACAATTTTCACGTATTAGTATTGTTTTATTTATAAATTTCGTGATACGAGGAAAAACTAGGAAAATGGTTTAGAATTTAATAATTGGAACAGTTTGGCAGAGCTGCCGGATGACTTTCTGAATGAATCGGAAATTATATTTAACTGCTATCACTCACCACTATATGGGGGCTTTCCAACATCTTCTTTACACTATACTTATTGTTCATTACTTAAAGTCGATAAATTAAATATCCATTACACATTGAACCCAAACAGTTCTAATCACTTTTCGTAGTACGTGAAATTTTATAATTAAAAATAATGCCACCAATAATCGAAAACTTTTCTTTAATAATCGTTCCACTTAATTTTCTTTTTTTAAAGTTTATTCAATTATTATTACTATTATTACTATTATTAATTAATTTAATTTATCAACTTTATTTATTAATTTATTTCTTAAAAACGTTTCTTTCAATAATTAATACTCATTCAATAATTTGAAATAAAGAAGCAGTTCTTCTTTACTATTCAAACAAAAAGTGGGTGAAAAAGTTATTTATAGATGTTTTGATAAAAAAAAAAGATATATTAATGTTGTAGACCAACTATATTTCGAATATTTCTATTTATATTCAAAAGTTCATTATTTAAACAATAATGATCGAAATTATCTTCATAGTAAAATCGCAGACAAATAATTACGATTGTTTCATATAAAAATGGCTATACTTTTTTCCAAACAATTTAATCGATGCGGTGCGTGATGGGAAACCACAAAGTAATCTATTTCAAACTCATAATAGTAATCAACCGAAATATCAGGGAATTTTCCCAAGTTAAATTAAAAGAACATTTTTTGCTGCTCTGTAAAATTTGTTAACATTATTTTTGTTTTTTAAAAGAAAAAATAATAGCTTCTTTTAATTATTTTAAAGATAAAGAAGAAACAATTAAAATTTCTACATTTTATTGTAAAAAATAGTAATATTAATTATAATAATAATAATATAACAATAAAAGTAATGGTAATAATAAAAATAATAATAATAATAATAATGATAATGGTGAATAAAGCAGTAATTTATTTTTCATAAATTCCGTAAATGATGCGAAGTTTCGCACATGCAAACTGTTTATAAATATACCTCTAAAGAAAATGTCTCTTTTAATATTTAATTAAATCGATTAACAAACAAGCAGAGTTTTCAGGCTATTTTTACATATTCATGTTTCTAAATAATAATCTAATAATAACAACAACTAATAACGTAGATATATATACAGTTTGAACAATTAGAATCCAGTTATAATTTCCGGGGTGCGTGTTTACTCACTATACATCAAATATGCTCATGTTAACAAACCTTGTCAAGTGTTTTTTGAATTTATATAAATAGATAGAAAACAAAATAAACAGAAATTTGCTATATAGTAGTTTTTAACACTAAGAGAAAAAAAAATCACACGCTAATCAAGAAATAGTTTTTTATACACTAAGCGTCGCGGCGACAATTTTAATTTTTGAGTCCTTATGAATTAAGGAGTTTGCGATATCTTTTAGGAGTTTTAATACATTTTTTGTGTAGTCAAAATCGAGTTTCTGTAAAATACTGTTTCTACTTTCTATCAGGTCTTGTTTTTGCCTTTTTAAATCTTAAGGATGCTTTAGCTATTTGACAGGATTTTCAAGTTCTGAATACCGATTTTTGTGATCTAGCCCAGATTTTTAGTATGGGCTCGATATGGGTTCGATTTTAATAATATCAGAGAGATTGTGGCTTCTGTAGTGCAGCTGTCTTTCAAGATTTTCTAGTTTCTAATACAACATTCCATTTCTAGTTGTTGGCAATTCAAGTTTCTGCATAGATTTCTGTACGACATTGTTGGAAATTTAGAGCATCTGGAATTAGACATTAATTAACAGTGCTAATGGAGGTTTTTTTTTTATTTAGTGGAAGATATTTCTGGTTTGTAACAAGTCGCATATGATGGACATTCCATTTTGATGCTCCGATTTAAGTTAATTTTTTAGTGCTGCTTCTGTTTTAAAACAACCTAAACGAACTTTTTAATCAGCCTTATCACAACTACCGATTTTTCACTACATTGATATTTTGCTTTAAAAATCTGACGATTTTTTTAATTTTTAAGTTTTTTTTTATGTAATTCCACTAATCTAGAACAAAGTATCGGTAGATTTTTAAAAAATCTAACCTAGAACAAAGCGTTGGTGGTTTTTTAAAAAATCGGTAGATTTTTTAAAAATCTACCGACGCTTTGTTCTGGGTTAGTGACCTAAAATTCTTTTTTGGTGGTTTTGCTCCCTTTTTGATGGAACAGGTCTTAATTTTAGGTCGTGTTCGTAGAACGTAAAAGAAATTCTATTGTAAATGTAATACTTAGACATTAAGTGTTCAAGTGGTAGAAGTGTAATTATCTATCAAATCTGACATTATAAAGAGAACGTTAGGATGGTTAGGAAAGAAAAGAAGGAAAGGAAATTGCTCTTTTGTTTTATGATAAAGAAGCAGTGTTGGTGAATATCAATGTATGTTAGTGGAGTAAAGGATCTTCAGGTGGTCCATGCCTAATCGAATGTCAAGCTCTGTTGATGCTGTAAGGATCCGCAAACATGTCATCCGGGGGATGGTCGCACGTTGCTATGTGAACTGTGGAGGAAGGATTATTGGGTAGGGTGGTAAAAAAATGACGTCATCAGGCATGGAACATCCATGATCCATCCGGAGGGTCCTCCACCTCGTTGATGCCATCTTGTCTGCGCATGTTGTCTGCGTATGGCTTCAGGTTTTGTTGGCCACAGTCGGCTACCAGACGCGACGCGAATAGCATGTTCGTCGTGGAGGCACATTGCCGGTAGTAATCGACATTCTCCGCGGTCTCTCTCTCTCTTTCTCTCATTATCTTCTTCTATTCTTCATTCCACACATTATTTTCAATAAATACCTGCGATTGTTATTCTAATATTTGTCTTCTCATCCAATCAGCGTGTTCGTATTAGTCAAAAACACGTGTTTCTCGACTGCCATCATCCGTGAGGAACACCACATTTTTATTGACAACCTTTCTCCTTATTTTCTTCCTTGAACTTGGACTCAACTTTGCGGTTCAACGACACGCGTTTCTACATATAAGAAAGAACAAAAAAAAAAAAAAGGAAAGACACCTAGGTCATTGCTCCTATTCCTTGGGAATAAAAATTGCGATCTTATTGTGAATACCGGTGTTGAGAAAATTACAAAAGTAATTCGAGAGAGTGGAAATTGTTTTGAAAAATAAGAAGGGTTGATAACCTGCTGAAATACAGGAGAGCCAATTTGCTATCGGAAAGACAAGACAAGACCTGTTTAGCAGGTAAGACACATTCCCTTTGAAGTCTCTGCCTTTTTGGGTCGTACTATTCCGGGTGTAACTAATGGTCCACGTCTGTGCTCAAGGTGACAAGTGGCTTTGAAGTTTCAAGATAAGCAACGAACACTTGCCAAGTGTTTCTAATTTGACGAAAGTGTCTTCAAGTTTAAAAGCTTCTTTCGTGTTTATAAAAGCTTGGTTTTAGTAAGTGAAAAATTAACTCGAGAAGAACTTTGCAAAGTTTGACTCATCGATATCAAAAATTAAATACTCTGTACAATCAATTGCATCTTCATCAAGTGATAAATATACTTAGATCCCAAGAATTAAAATCGAAATTATAATCGAATTGCATTCTAAAGTTAGTGAATCATTCTTCCCGAGGAGCTAGAATAATAAGTGATTAAGTGACAAAACAGTAGTGGATTTTTTCTGAATAGGGAGTCAAAATTTAAATAGAGAGTAAACATTTAAAGGGAGTAAAAATTCCGCTCATAATGAGAACGGTGGGAAAAGCGATGAAGAAACGAGCAATCAGCTGACTAGAAGAGTTCTTTGGAACACGTACAAAGAACTCGAATATCAACGACCGGATCATCAAACGGAAGACAAGTGAGGATAATCGGGATCGTCATCAAATTTATTCAATCATGACATTCAGCACCACATTCAATGGTGATAAATCCCGTTTCTCTAATGAGAAGTCCTCCCGGTACGTTTACATTTTAATTACAATGATTGCCTATTCTATTTCCCTTGAGTGATATTATTCCTCTGCTATATATGCTTCTGTCTTTGTTTATAACTCTCTTGTTCACACACACACACACAAACACAAGTGCAGTGTACATGTAATGTACGTAATTTGAAACACAAACGGTTAATTACTCTTTTTTTAACATATCACTATATACATATATAAATGGACTTGGAATTCTTCAACAATGAAAGGTTCAAATGTTGAAATGCTTTCTTGGGAAAACATATAACAATAGATGACATTTTTCTTGCAATTTTGCAAATAACTCGGAATTTTTGAATTATTGTTACACCTCTTATTTATTAGATCCAATTTCTTTTTATGAGAATATTAAAAATTTGTTTTTCGTACACAAAATTTGACCCTTTAGGAATTATGAAAAGAAGGTTGACACAAATCAGGGAAATGAGAGTAAAGTCAGAAAAATATCAGGGAAATTTATATCGAGTACTGGAAACATAATAAACGTTTAGAATTATTAATATAATAATAATAATATAATAATAATATTCATAATTAAAAATTCTGGTTCTTGTGGTCAAGGAATATTTTCGAAAAACTTAACCATGAATTGTCCCTTAAATTTTTTTTGCACTTGATTTTTTATTTCTTCAAATATTTTTAGTTTATTTCTCCAAAAAGTTAAATTTTATTTAACTGTTTCAAATCCAGCGCAAGTTTCCTAATGTTATTAATTATTATAAAGAAAAAGAATTTAGTTGAAAAAATTTGCAATTTTCGGAAAATAATTTAATTTCAGAAGGTTTTTTTTTACAAATAATAAAAAAATTCGAAAGAATTCAATTATTTTTAAAACTTTTAATTTTTCCGATGAAATTCAATTACTTTTATTTATTTTATTTTTTAAAGAAAAGTGGTTTTTAAGGTTGATGTCAATTTTACAAAATTCAAAATGTCGGTTCCAATATGGCGGACAAAATTCGCATTACTTTAAGGAAGTCAGGTTTTAAAAGGAATAATTAAATATTTATTTAAGAAATTATTTAATTTTTAAACACTTTTATTTAAAATTTTGAAGAAAAGTAACTTTTAGAAAATTTTGATTACACCTAGAGAAATGATTTATTTGAATTAAATAAAATTTATTTCAAACAAATAAAAAAGGATATTTGTCACAGAACCAACTAAACTTTTATTTAGCTCAAATAATATTTTTTATTTGAATTAATATATTTCGTTTAAATATCCATTTTTATTTAAATGAAAAAAATTTTATATTTTCTTTAAATATATTTTATATTTAGAACAAATAAAAAACACTTTTCATTTTAATAAATCCTGTAAGCATTCTAAAATATTAAAATTCACTTATAACCTTCAAATAAATTTAACAATCACAATCACTAATGGAACTTTTAATATTCATTAAAATAAATGTTTATTTTTATAAGAATATTTGTTAAATAAAGTCAGGTTTTTTTATTGTTAGTCATTTTACTTTACTTTTTCACTTCATATGTAAAAGTCCACTGTCACATTTTTCTCACAAAATCTCAAATAAGACACTAAAATGTAAATGAAATCACATACAAATCTGTTACTTTGTACTAATTAAAATTTTCACTTAAAAAGAAAAATTCTGTACTTAAATCAATTAAATTTGTTAACTATTCATGATGAATAAACCTCTTATAATTGTACGCGTTAAACTGTTAAAAGCAAAACATCTTATTGTTTTACTATAGCAATGCAATATGCGCAGGCGTCTACTTATAAGTCAAACAAACATTTATTTGAATCAAATATATTTTTTATTTGCTACAAATATACTATTTCATAAATTGCAAATATATTTCTTTATTTTAGATTAATTAGTGCATTTATTTGAAATAAATATTAGTTTATTTATTTTAAATAAAATATTTATTTGCAACAAATAAATTTTTCTTAAATATACACTTTTAGTTAAAATAAATAACTTTTTTCTCTGGGTGTAAATTTTTCAAAAAAATCGAATTTTGAAAGTGATTTTAATTTAATAATTGTTAAATATAATTGAATATTACAAATAGCAGTTGAAATGAAATATATATTTATGTTTATTAATGTAAAGAACATCATCTAAAATTCCTATTTTGCTAAAATTAATTACTAGGTTAGAAAATTATCATTAATTTCCAAATGATTACGAGATATGTTTAGATATACCATTAAATAGGATCAGTAACATCATCACATTAGTTCTAATTATTATTGTCTGCCGTATATATATCGTCTTTTGTTATTCTTATCAAATAGCCAACAATGGTTTTCTTATTCTTCTGTTTTGTTTTCTCAACAGTAATTATTTTTTCATTAATGTCATTGTTTTATGTAACAATGTATTTAAATTCGATATATAGTTTTGTGTGTATAAAAAATATAACACAATTATTATAATTTCTAACATATATAATATATGCGCGAGTTTAAAAAAGTCTTAATTACAAAATAGTGACAAAAGCTAAAGAGGGACACATTCATTAAGTAATTTTGTTTATCGCACACACAATCAGAAAGTATAACAGTTCGAATGTATTTAGACGCGAAGACACAATTACAAGAATGAGAGTATGTTAATTAGGTTGAAATTGTATAACACCACGAGTAAATATGTCTTCATTTGACTCTTATAATTAACCTTCTCGTTGTGTGAAAGAAGGAGAAATAATATTCTCCTCTTGGATCCTGAACTTAAAAATTATTTTTCGTGTTTCTAATTAATTGGATCTTCATTTAAAAATAATCCCGAATTAAAATACAAATTTAAAATAAAAATTCAAAATAAATAGTTATTTAATTAATGTTTAATCAAATAATTTTGAATCGAGATTATTTTTAAGTTTGAATTTCGCGCCATTTTATTTCTGCAAACGTCCGCCTAGGGGGCATGAAAAATCTCTCGCAAACGAGGTGAATTAAAAGAGGGGATAATTTTAAGTCGATGTTTCTCGTTCAGCTTTAGTTGTATTAGGTACTTTATAAATATATTGTTCATAATAATAATAATGAAATTGATAATTGTATTAATAATAATTATTATTAGTATTAATACGAATTAATTTTATTTTAATGCGAACGTATAGATTTTGTTCTTTTTTGAAAAAATTACATTTTTATGCGATTAAACTCCTCACGGGGATCATCACTGGACCAATAATATTTAAATTTGTCGAAGCTTCTCATTGAGCCTTAGACCAATATTGGCGATAAAAGTTGATCCAATAGTTAGCCTTGATAATTTATCGCACACTTTATAGAAATTGCATCTTTTATGAAATTCGCTCTTATAGATTCGATAGAACCAAAAACATCCTGTAAAACATTAAAATATTAATTGCCAAGAATGGTTTATGAAATTTAAATACTTTCCTTTATTAAAACAAAACAAAACAAAACAAAACAAAACAAAACAAAACAAAAAAAAAAAAAAAAAAATTCTTTACTTTATAAATAATTAAAAACTGGAAAATATTCTACACAATTCATATAGATTGAATAATGCAATTATCTACTTTTTATGTTGTACTGCTTTAATTTAGATTATAATTTAATAGTCAATTAATTAATTAATTAAGAAAACTTAATTCTCTGGTTTTATCAAATTAATTTTAGATTGAGTTCAGCTTGTTGGGTAATAAATGATAATCAAACAATTATATATTTTTGAAAAGATAATAAGAAATCATGAATGTAGAATCACTGTACAGAACTTGAACTCATGGCCAATGAGAGTAACGTTCTCTTTATTATTACCGTTATTTCTCCATGTTCACGATTAAAACTATCTTGTACTGGAAATTGCAAATAGCAACCAAATTTTCATAAATATTCCGCTAATGTATGGTCTTTAACAATGAAATACACTTTTCGGTTTATCTTATGCATTTTTTTTTTTTTTTTTTTTAAGTTTGTTCTGAGTTTATTTTAACTCTGATTATAGAATTTTTTGACTCTTATCAACATTTTTTAATTAAAAAATTAAAAAAGCAAGAATTCACTTTTATTTAAAAATAGAAAAATTTTCAAGCTGGATTTATTATGGTTGAAATTTAATTCTTATAATTGCGGAAATTGTAAATTTATATTTAAATCTGAATGAAAAAAAATGACACGTGTATGCTAGAGAGGAAAAAAATGCTTAAAAATTGATCATCATTTAGAACACGAGTGCGTAAGTTGAAACTTTGGTGTGTAGACCTTTAAAAGATGTAAATTCTTTTCGATAATTGGAAAAAAAATCATTCTCAAGTGACGTATTAGTTATTTTATAAAGAAATGCATTTTTAGCACGTGTGAGAAAAATTTATTTTTTACTCTGAGAGATTATAATTCTCGTATGGATTTTATTCTATTTTTCATTCTTTACATTTAGTTAGATTGGAGAATATTTTTCGTTCGTTGTTTTTATATATTTTATTCTATTTCTTTATGCTATTTTTCAAAACTATTTTTGTTCATTTTTTTAATATTGCACGTTTTTTTTCTACTTTTTTTTTAAAAAAAGAACATTTTTGCCACATTTTTCTTTTAATGAATACCATTTTTTTTTATTATTAAATAAAAATATTTTAAAACAATCTTGAAATATTAGTACTAAAATAGCGAAGTAAAAATAACTCTCGGACTAACAGTTATTTTTACTTCGTTATTTTATTAATTTTTTATTTAATAATAAAAAAATGGTTATTTGCCATATTGACAATGATTATTTACTTTTTTCGTTTCATTAAATTTGAATTTCGCGCCATTATATTTCTGCGAATTCCCGCCTAGGGGGCATGAAATCTCTCTCGTAAATGAGATGAATCAAAAGGGCGTTTACGTTTTTGTCTTATATTTTGATATTATTATAATTTTTCTCAATTTGTTATTATAAGTTTTTTCTTCTATTCGAATATTATAATATAATACTAAAATATAAGGCAAAAAACTAAAAATTATATCTGAAG